ATGTGAACATTGTCAGCCAGTCCCGTTGCGCCTCCAGTGCCTACGGCTATGGTAGTCAGATCAAGAACACCATGATCTGCGCCGCTGCCTCCGGCAAGGATTCCTGCCAGGGTGACTCTGGCGGCCCATTGGTTTCTGGTGGTGTCCTCGTCGGTGTTGTCTCCTGGGGTCGCGGCTGCGCCTACAGCAACTATCCCGGTGTCTACGCCGATGTCGCTGTCCTCCGCTCTTGGGTGGTCAACGCTGCCAACTCGATCTAAATTGATCGTTCATTCATATGATGTATAATAAGTGAATGATAATATCTGCAATTAAATTCTGATAAAGAATAGGACTTTTATTTTTCTTCCGGGCCTAATTTCGGGACAGTGGGTACAGTGACGCAAAAGCCTTATCGCGTAGAGTCATCGTAGCACTCGTAACATTATATTTTTTTCCCTCGAGACGAGATAAAGAAACGGTTTGCAAATCGTGTAGCCGAAAACTCTTCAGTTGATGTCCATCATCCCATGCGCCATTATCTAATCTATTTGAAGCACGACACACGCCTAGAATTTGAGCTAGTTGATATTATTAAAATATTTTAGAGTCGCGAGTGACTATTCTCATAATATTTGATCAAGCATAAAAAGTATTTTAGTTTCAGCACTAATCAATCATTTTTTACCAACCACCTTTAAAGTGCAAATTGAGGATCTTAAAGTTTTCATCCGTTTGTGGGAATTTATTAGAGGAGAAATCAATGGGTAACATGGTTATCAAAATCTAGCTGTAGAGCTGTAAATAATACTGAATTTCCCGATGCTTCACTATGTCAATTGATTATTATATTATTATAAATTTATTATAATTGTTGATTTTTTTACTCTCCTACCAATAATATCTATGTGTTATCAACAGACTGATTGATATGATATTTTCTACTCATTGAAAACCTGTATAAGATAGAAACCTATCATATTTGCGTCACCCTATATTTGGACATATCCATTTTTATCTGGGTTTTTCACTCAGTATACGTATAATATATAAGAAAATCTCACTTGCAAAGACCCTAGGCGTCGTGTCAAAATATATTAAACCAATATACCTGTTACATTTCGTGAAAGGGTATTTAAGTAGTGTTGAGTGCTCAGTTGGACACGCAGCTCAAGTGTTTGGTATGATTAGTTTTGTGTAAAGATAGAGGAGGTGTTGATCACTGATGAAGATCTGAAATGAAAAGCTACTTCCTGTTTAACAGAAATAAGTTACGAAGTCCCCAGAAAGTACTTGCTTTGCAGATATTATCAAGCAGCATTTATTTATATAATGTCAGTATTCCTCTTCAAAAAATACATGTGAAAATATTGGATTTTATTTTACAATAATTGTCAATGGCAAAGGATTAGGTCTGCTTAATGTTGATACAAAGTAGCGCCCAACTGATAAAATTATTTACTAGACCGAAATTATTAAACTTGATAAGTTTTTTTTTTAATCAATATTTTGCAAAAAAAAAAAAATAAATAAAAAAAAAAATAAATTAAAATAAAATTCCCCAAATTACGATGCCGCTACAGATAATATAGCGTTGTGCGCATTAAAGTTAAAGTTGATCAATTTAGAATAAGTTCAGTGTAATGAAAAAAGAGATACATATATACACACAAATATATCTATGTGAGAATCCCTTAGAAACGCATTTCACACTCGATTATTAAACATCGAAAATAGAGGCCAACACTCAGTCCAAATGGGTGTGTAGGGTTTTCAACAAGTTCGTGCTCGATAGACCGTAGTAGATAGTGGTAAATATGCCAATAAAGCCATAAAAAGTTTATTATAGCTTATGCCCTGTCAGTGCACAATTTTTTCAAATAGCGAATAAGATTGCAGTGATCAGAAGTGACCGACTAAGAATACCTTGCGCTTCTATTATTCCATATTATTTTCTAAAATTTTGTGAATAAGTGCGTAAGGTAGAACTATTTTTATGGGGACGATTCAGACGAGTCCTTACATTAAGTTTGGTTTGGACTACTTATAGGGAAAAACCACCTAGATTTCTTTCTAGTACATACACATTCACAGAATAGTTTTACCCTCAACTACCATTATGACTGCGCTTAGGGTGAAAAGTAACGAATGTTACAAATTTCGAACGGTGTCTTTGACAGATAACGAGCCCAGCCAAGGAAAGATAACCATGGCTAGAATTGGGCGATATTCGCAAAACCCATTGATATTTGGATTGTGACTCTTCAAAACGAAGTATTAGTTCCGTCTAAGTAGCTAGCTGTACAACGCATGACAATAATTTTGAGTGCAGCCATTGACGTAATCATTGAATAAGAGATACTTGGGATTTCCAGTTTAAATTTCCTCCTTTTGTTTTTTTTTTTTTTTTTTTTTTTTTTTTTTTATTTTTTTTTTTGGGGTTTTTTTTTTTTTTTTTTTTTTTTTTTTTTTGTAAATGTTTGTTGTGGGTGTTTTTTTTTTTTTTTTTTTTGTAAATGTTTGTTGTGGGTGTTGTACTTATCCACTATTATGAATACCTATATTTAAATAAAAATGTTGAGTTTTTTTTATAAAATCAATATCGTTATCATTGTCACCCAAAACTATACAGAAAAGTCTGATTAAACAACTAAGAAGGCTCTAGTCGAGACTGCTGGACTGGAAATAGCCTGAACCCTCCAAGCTGATGCTCTAATCATTCTGCACTTCTTTTATGCACACATACACGTGCATCCATACGCACGCAACTGCGCAGTACGCAGCGACTGCGCTTGGGCTGCGCTGCAGTGCACTGTAGTGTGGACAATATGAGAAATTATTGGTTGAATAATAAGTAATAAGTAATAATAATAAAAAATAATAAATTCTAAAATGTATTTATTTATCAGCGTGCCCAATTACTGCTTTCTAATAGAGTATTCTTGAGCTGATTTATGGATGATTCAATGCGAATCCCTTATGTATATTTTCTTATTTATCAACATGCCTCTTTTCAAAAGCGTATTCCTGCGCTGATTTATAGAAGAAGAATCGTATCTGTCTCTCGTCATGTTCTTTTTGGCCATTTCAAGAAGGGTATTAAAATTCATGATAATGTCAGAAAGTTAAGACTTTCTTGACGAAACTAATCAAAAGGCTGTAGATCAATCAAAGTGATCATGAAATGCTCTAATATAAATATTAGCCCTTGGGTCTATCAGTATTTAGTTTACAGACAGCATGCAGCGCAGTGTCGGACTTTTGCTGTGCCTGGTGGTTGGGTCCGCTGTGGCAGGCACCGTTAACCTCGCTCCCGATCGCTTCGAGCGGGAGGGTCGCATTGTGGGTGGCGAGGATACTACGATTGAAGCACATCCCTATCAAGCCTCACTGCAGAAGAAGAGCGGGTCCCACTTCTGCGGAGGCAGCATAATCGGCCCCAACCTTGTGGTTACAGCGGCTCACTGCCTGCAGGGCATCAAGGCTTCCAGCATTCGTGTACGTCTCGGCTCAACGCGCTACAACGAAGGCGGGGTACTCGTTGCCGTCGAGAGTCTGGTATACAATGAGCAGTACGACAGCCAGACCCTGGAAAACGATGTGGGCCTGCTGAAGCTAGCGGAAAGCGTGGCCGAATCGGAGAGCATTCGCTACATAGAACTGGCCGAGGTCACTCCACCAACTGGTACTGCGGCCGTGGTCACGGGCTGGGGATCCAAGTGCTACTTCTGGTGCATGTCTCTGCCAAAGATTCTCCAAGCGGTCGTCGTCTCCATTGTAGATTGGCAGCAGTGCGGCTCCGATGCGTACAAATACGGCGACATTATTCGGGACACCATGGTTTGTGGCTATGAGAAGAATAAGGATGCCTGCCAGGGCGACTCCGGCGGCCCACTGGTGGCCAACAATCAGCTAGTGGGTATTGTCTCATGGGGCTATGGCTGCGCCTCCAAGCTACTGCCCGGCGTCTACGCCGATGTGGCTGCCCTGCGCAGCTGGATACTGGAGAAAGCCAAGGCACTGTAGACCAAAATTTAATGCATGATATATGGATATACACAGACTATATATATTTATATTTTCTAAATTTATATTTTATTTGTCATCTGTATGTAAGCGATAAACAATTTTTTCATAATACTCGACATTGATAAAGAAAGCTTGATAAATTACATCAAGTTAAGACAACAACCTTTATAGAAAGAGCTTTTACATAGCACGTGCTTTTATAGCAAATGCTCTTTTGAATAAGCTGAACGTTTTGAAGCTTTTCGCTATTTAAAGCTCTTATTGTTAAATTTTTTATGACTTCTACCACTAACCAGAGAACGATTTTGGGTTTGAATTGAAGAGGCGCGCTTATATTTCAGTAGCTGATTGACTAAAGTGCACTTGTCACTTGTCACATCCCAATACTTTGTGGCACTGTGACCGAAGAGTAACTCACGCACATGTGTATGTATGTATGTA